TGTGAGCACCCTACGCTAGTTTGTTTTGCGCAGGTCACTATGATGCCCTACCCCCGCCCACCCCTCAAATGATAAATTTCATTCATTTGCAGAAAGAAGGCAAATACGACAAATCATTCTATGCTGCTGACATGTTCCACTTGAGTAAATACGGTAATGCTGTGCTGGGCAAATTTCTCTGGAACACTATGCTTGAGCCCGTTGGCAAGAAAACAACGAAAGCGGATTTGGGCGACGACTCAGCCCCTTTAAAATGTCCCACGAAGGTTCGTGCCCTTTGAAAATCTTCCAAAATTAGAACTGCAACACGTGGAGCGGTTATTCTATGTTTTCAGGAATCTCCTTTCATACAAACTCTGGGTAATCGATCGTGACCCCTATTTATCGCATGGCCCTCATTTCACTTCAGTTGAAGATCATCTCTGCAAAAATAGGATATAATTATTCATGTCTATATGTATGTTCGTGTTACTTATTACGAGTTTCGACTCACAAGTTTTAATAAATATAAACTTTCATTATTACAACTGTTCAGATGCATTACGCGATCGCTTAAAAAACTGTTGTACTCGAGCTTCTATTGTCTCACCAATTCCGTGAACACCGCCTTTTCTCCTATACACCACACAAGGGCGGCTAAACGACCCCATTTTCCGCTCCTATGTAGTATTTGTCGTCTACTATTTCGCCTACTCTCCCAAAGGCGGCAGCTTTCGCGTAATTTTGGAGCCTTACCATTCCTGAAACTATCGGAATGGTCATTTGGGTCCAACTAGGAATAACCTAATAGGTAGGACGCAAGTGCGCGCACATAGCATCCGCGCTTCAAATCAGGGTACCATGAACGCTACCCTTGTTTGTCAGACAACGGTCCCTGACAGGCTGACGTGCTGGAAAGTCGAGGGGAAAAGAGAAGCGCAGTTGTGGGACACGTCCTCCCGTCTCTATAGTGTCATCCATCCGCGCGCGGAGATTGATTGGAGCACTGTCAAAGTTCGCCGCAGATGTGAACGTTGTGGAGGGTTCATTAGTTGTTCGATGATGTTTTAATCTGGACAGTTCTATTCCCTCTCACGGGATGCAGCGGTATTCGTGTGAATGATCAATAAGAGTCTTGCTACACAGTTCTTACGGAAGTTTGAACAGTTGAATTACATGTGGTGAATTGGGTCCGCAGTTGTCGCGCCACTTTATCTGATCAAACTACACTTGAACGGGCTGGAGGGTAGTGGAACCCGGGTGCCATCTCCCGACTATCCTCCTGTCGCAAGGCCAACTGCACGCCAAACCGTAGCCAAAACGCCGCTTGCTCTCTCAACACCCATGGTGAACTTTCTCCGTACACTGCTGAGTGCTTGCTTTGCTGCGAACTGCTTGGTGTCGATTTGAGCCTTGCACTCCGAGGATAGCGGCGGAATATGGAAACGGCACTCGAGTATCAGTATTCACGTGCACTTTTGAAGGTAGAAAGTGGAATTTTACTGTAGCCTGGCAGACAGGCCACTCAACCTCACACTTGAGGCAATAGGATCAATGCCACCGGTGAAAGAGTATTCAAATGGGGTTCAATTGGTACTGAGGGATCATAGTAATCAGGTTCAACACGGTGCCCCGGCGCAGTAACGACAGACTGAGAAACTCGCCGACAGCTACATCCCTTTGCCCCTCCACTGCTGAAAGTTACCTTCTGACCGTTTTCGCGAAGAATGTGCCGCAGACTTCCAAGTTTCTTTCTTTGCTCACGATAAGGCTAGAAATTTTACTCTCACGTTTCCACTCTGTGCATGCTTTCTAGGCTTTCCTATTGGTGCCAGCACAGTCTCACTTGTACAGGCATTCAGGGTACAGCGTGGGGATGTGCGAAATGGCGGTGTGAGTACGACCCCCCCCTCGAAGAGGGTCCAGATACGACCCCTCCCCCCTCCTGCTCTAACTGACAACCAGATGCATGTTCACCACAAATGGCTTCCTGAAATGGAATCTGGATTTTCGAAAGGCGGACTCTGCTCTAAAATCCAGGCAATAATAGGCTGTTTCAGCCTCATGCAATATGAGGCTGACAAACAGCTGTGCGGGCATTACCTGGTCACAATTCTTAGAATCAGTTTTAATAAAAACTCTCTCGTGGTCGACAAACACATGTATGACATGCAACTTGTGACCAAGGGAACAGTCAATCGAAACAAGCGACTAATAGTTGATCATTGGTTAAGCTTAAACCGGTGAAAAAATAGCCTGCAAGGTCAGCGTGTTCAGTGGCCGACAGATTGTGCATTCAGTAAAATGGTTACGGGAAAATCAACACCCTGAAAACATGCTACGAACACAACAAAGCGAACTAAAAAAAGCAAAAAAATGATACGGAGCCAAATGAAAAAAAGGATAACCAGGCGGCAGTAAATCGTTCTATACTTGGCTACTATCGATCGCAAGGCTGCGACCGCTTTTCGTTGGAAAAACGTCATTGGAGCGCGGTGGACTTGCCAACGTCCTGTGGTCTTTTTTTTTTTGGGGGGGGGTTATATCTCTTTGAGGGCGCGGCTTTTGATGAATGGTTAGCAGCATGCAACGGGAATGTTCCTACTGTTGCGTTTTCTACCCAGCTGCAATCTGAATGTTTCCCCGTTCGTGAAATATTTCGGATGGGTTTCGGATCGGCTAGGGGTAAATGGCAAGCGGGTTTTTATGCTTCACACGAGGATTACTTATTTCGAACGCAATTACACATCAGGATTGAAGTCGTCGTCTGAAACCCCTCCATCTTTTCTCTTTCCAATAAGCTTTACAGTTTTTCTGAAGACCCACTAGTTCAGGAGATATTTTAGATGGGTCACAGACGCGCTACCCTCTGACCCACCCGAAAAATCGAACAGTGTGCCTCCAAAACACATATTTCCCTTCAAATGAGTGAAAGAGGAGCTCGGCTATCACTGATCGATTTGGTCCGAGTGCGCCGTGCATTACTCTCCTACGCAGAGGTGATGGAAAGGTATAAATTCTAATTTGAGGTGCTTTTATCCATGCAAGCAGATGTTTGTTTAGGGTTTGTAGAGGACGACACTACGCACGAATGCTGTTTCTGCACCAGTATTATTTGGTCATCGCTGAACGTACGTAAGAGTTCATGCTATTGATTGATATAATGATTTAATTTTATCTATTTTCTTGGCTATTCTTGCTATATCCTTGCCTAAGTTTACTTATTTTATCTTTTTTTCTGTAGTCCTCTTTACCGAGGCGGAGGTGTGTAGTGACAAGTGGGCGGCGCGCTTACCACTCGCGCGGCGCCGGGTTCGAATCCCGGGTCGACACCCGCCCAGGCCAACCAAGCCTTCTACCCTCCGGGGACGGTAAATTGGTACCAGATTCGTCTGGGAGGATAAGAACACTGACCTTGGTACATCGGCTGGCCACCGCAAGTCATTGTATAGGTTCTTCTTACAGTTCGCGATTCAATAAGCCACTGACGAATTCTTTTGAATGGAAGCAGAGACGTGTTTCCGCTCGCCACAAAGGGATTGAGGTCAAAAACGGCGAAGACTTTATCCTTTATCCTTTAGACTCTCTTACGTCCGGGTCTTCTGCAGCTTTCCCTCCGTTCCATCGAACTTAGCAATGACAGTTTGATGCCTAGCGAGCCTACTTTTGCGATACTTCCCCCACGTCCCCCGCGGCCAAGTACGAACCCATTTTTGGGGATTTCGCATGAAAAGAGGGCTGTTAAACGTAGCAGTTTAAATCTGTAAAGAATACACTCATAACAACAATGGCATTTTTTTTAGAAAACATCTCCAACTTCGCATAGCTCCACTGCGCCACATCAACTGAAATGGTCGACTTGCATTGGCCCGGCTCTGAGTGACCGGGCGGGCCTGAGGGAATTACACGCCGTCCTCCCTCTCTCCAGCGGCCAAAGTACGAACCGCCTATGGGTTTCGCACAACGATGCTGTATCCTCGAGGCATTCATCTTGCAGTAACGAGCTGAGCGTGGCATCACAGAGGATCAGCCACCGGTCCTCGGTTTATAGGCTTAACTGGTTATCGTTGCATGTATTGTAACCCGTGTTAATTTAGCACATCTGGATGTATGCCCATTCGGACGTTCGCGAGGCTGAGGCGCGGTTCTCGAAAGACAAACCGATGGTTCTTTTCCAATCTCCACGCGCTTCTCCTCAACCTCAAGCTGCGTCCATACCAAGATCCGCAGCGAACATCAGCATTCAGAGAGGTAGAAGACAGTCAAAATAGAGCGTCGCCGCCCAGCAGCGCACCTGGCTTTGGTTACGCGGTGGCTCCGTCAATGCGGTTGGGAGGGCGGAGCCTGAAACATCTTGGGGGCACTGAATGATACTTAGCCAAACTTGAAATGGCCAACTTGCAAGGACTACCCTATAACCTCGTTCCGTAGTTCTGAGCGGAGAAAGTGGCACGATACTGCAATTTTGGTCTCACTCTGCACATGGCAAGCACCAGGATCGGACGAAAGCTTACAGTTTGGCTTCAAGGGAATCGCCGCCATGGAAAACCATCTCTTGAGCAGGAGTGTAGACAAATAACAATCCGATAACAATTCATAACAATTCAATAACAATAACAAATAACAATAACAACAAATAACAATAACAAACAGCTGTATAGCTTGTGCATGAAAAATTTATGTCGTTGTAAATAAATATCTATATGAATATCGTAGTCATTCTGCAATGGCAATGGTAAATGTGTTCCTTGAGGTCCTGCCCAACATCTTGGGCCTGACTCTCTGTAATATTGACAGCTTTGTCACCTCCTGGGAAATATATTCTTCGCCAGTTGAAGGAAAAAGAATGAGATTAGGTGAGGCATGCAACCACAAGCTCAAGTTCTTAGCCGTGTCACTGTCCTGCCCTTTTCTCTTCTGTGTCCCTTTGTTTATTATGTACCCTTCGTCCATAGGAATTCGTTAGAGAGGTAAGGACCCCTACTTCTGGTACTGTGATTATTTCAAAGTGTATCTTGATTCTGTGTTACCTTGCAATCTCCGAGCTGTATAGCTTGTGCATGAAAAATTTATGTCGTTCTAAATAAATATCTATATGAATATCGTAGTCATTCTGCAATGGCAATCTTCAACTTAGTTTTATTCTTCAGAAGGCCTCAATAGTTAGTTGTTCATATTACAACGGGCCTTGCTGCGGCTTTCATACAGAAGAATTGGCCCTGGTATGACGTGACCGAATAGCCGGCGCAACATGCTGTAGGTCGTGGATATTTGCAGACCTCTCGATTACAGACCTCTTTCTCATAGGCCGTCCTGAAAAAAATTACATAAAAACTGATAGGGTGATTTTTGTGAGAGTCTGAGGATCACAAGTAGTGGAGACAAGCTTCAAAAC